AAATAGAGGTCTAACAGAATTTCCATGATGTCAGTGTATCTAGTTCTGAAAAAAAAAAAAAAACAAGGTAACGATGAAAAGGGTGTACAAAGATTAAAACAGATATTTTGGTCGTTAATGCGAATATGTTTTCTGGGTTTGATTCGAGACAAGGCAACGTTCGATAGAAAAACAAAATTTTTTCAAGTTGAACAGACAACTGAGCTGTCAGCAAATAGGATGGCCTTAGAAATTCCCTTAGCACTTTTAGTCGGGATGTGGAATAGTTTGGTGTCTTTGGAAATAACAACCCTTCAGTTTTGCCTGACAGGATATCATAATATTTTGACCACTAATTTCGAAACAAGTGTCATGTAATACGGTTCGATAAAGAGCAATGTCATCTGATCTTCAACAGTATTTGTGTGTTTACGCACATGGAGGGGGAAAATTAACTATTCATACGCAGTACTAGAATTTTAACCGTTTCTTTGACTGAGAACCAATCCAAAAGTAATGCAGTGGCCTTCTGGTCTCTCTTTTATAAAAAAAATTTTTTTTTTAAAAAAAAAAAGAGAATTTCTTCGTTAAATGGTAATTGAATATTTGGTTACGTAAAATGTTTTCGCAAAGTCATCCCGTGCATTTATGAGCTTGTTTGTTTCCAAGAATATTCGTTGCGTTGTTCATTAAATTACTTCATTCGTTGACTTACGCATTTTTCGAGGGTCTCCTCTTTTCCCTGGCTCTTCTTTCCTTAAAATGTCTTCAACCATGAAGCTTTTGACACATGGACGTCTTTCAAAACGTTTTTGAGGTCGCTTAAAAGCTGAGAATCGTGGCCAGGAAGATAAGGTTTGTCTTGTGGCGCTCGAGTAGTTGTTGCACGAGAGTAACATATCTTGCGCGGGGCCAATTGCACATAGATGATCAAAACTTTCTATCATTTCCCCACGTTCTTCTAACCTTTCGCGGTTCTCTCAAGCAAGGAGGTCTCGGTTAGAGTAATGTTTGTCTAAATGCAGTGTTATTGACGTTAATCGCCACATCTTGTTTACCAAACTTTCTGTTGGGTTCTCTAATGTGATTGGTCAAGGGCGACTTGTTTACAACAATAGTGATCAAAACAATTGAAATCGAGAGGCCAAGTTTGATGTGAAAACCTGATTAGTACTAAAATGTCGGTGTAAGTCCTCTAGATAATGGCAGATAATTCTTAAAAAAACACAAGAAAGAGAAAGAGCAGTGATTTATTTGAACGAATCTGCCCACTAACTCCCAAAGCAAACAATGATTAAAGGAAAACGCCTTGAAATGGTATCTTTGAGAACATTGTTGGTATTGAATCGATCGTCAGGGAGGGGCGGCGAGGAAATGATTACTCGTCATGTCAGAGGATATACAATTTTATTCTAGGGAACTCAAAATTGGTAAAAATAATTTCACTGAGTACTTTTGAGCCCGCACGTGCTCTCTGAATAATGAGTATTGTTGAACGTCAGCTAAGTAAATCGAAGAAAATCGGTATAGACTTCTACAACGTTTTAGTGTTGTTCTTGCTTGGACTCAGCATTACGTAACTTCCTTAATTAACCAAATGTGGGAAAGTTTAAATACGATTCTATTTGTTCTTTTAGTCTTTGCTATTTACATAAGATATTTTGGGGGTATTTTTGAATTTACAAATACGAAATAGGGCTTCTGAATTTTATTTTGATAAACGCATCTTTTTTTTTTTTCTGTCGTAAGCCCCAAAACTCGTAGGTTTCGATTTTCCTCCTATCGTGAAGTTTTGGAGTGATAAAAACCTTCCCTTGGCACCCGTCCCTACCACCTTCCCCCCCCCCCCCGCTACGATCCTCAGCTCCGCAACTTAAACTGAGATAGCGCAAGTGAAATCTTAGTGAGACAAAATATTTCTGGCTCCGTGGGAAGAACTGTTAGCCGAACTACTCTAAGAGTATGACAGCGCTTAATGAATTGATTAGATAATCGGACAGCTAGAAATAATAATAGTATTACATCGCCATGAGAACGTAAAATTTGAAGTGAGGTTAACAAAACACGCTTTCGCCCAGGTCGTGGGAATTGGGTGAGTCAAAATTCTCATTCTGGTTTTTTAAAACGTTAGGGGCTGTTTACAGAATGGGAACAACTTATGAACCCCCCCCCCCCTAAAAAAAATAACATAAAAATAACGTTAAAATCGACATGAATGAGTCGTGAAGATTTTGCAACCGACAAACTTAGCCAAATCAAGATGGGCACGAAATTAAAAGAGATAAGGGACTTCGAAAAAACAAAACATTGGTCGTATTGCATGCTATGACATTTACTCACTATCATTTGTTCATCGATGATTTCAAGACATTGTCTTTGAGATATGTGAAGCGCTTTCAACCGATGTATCGTAAAAACTCAGCGCAGGAAACGATTTTTGGGTGTAAGATAGTTTTTCGACCTTGTGCGCTAATGATGTGTAAATTGGCTTTTGATCATCTGTCGGGCTGCTGACGTTCCAAGAGTGGGTGGTCCTTTATTGTTAGTGACCTTCAACAGATAGTCTTGATGAGGCTGTGTCCTTTCGTTCTTGTTAATTAACTTTTCAGGACCGAACTACTCAAATACTGGCGATCTACTTTGATTCATTAACTAATTTTGTCGATACAACTTTGGATTTAATTTGGATATATCAACAAAGTTGAAATGGTAAATTGGCCACCGTAACGATTACAAAAGCTGATGTTTCGAGCGTTAGCCCTTCGTCGGAGCGAATAGAGGAATTGTGGGTTGTGTGTGCTTTTAAAGACAGAAAATGGAGCTACGTTATTGGTGGGAACATGGCAACGAGAAAAACAGGAATACAAACACTTTGGATTTGTCTGATTTGACCTGTATAGCGTGACATGTCGGAATCACCCAGTTTAAGTACCAATGGAATTGAGCAGCGATGTTATTAGCCAATGAAATTTAACAACCTTGTTCTTCCCAATCACCCGATGATTGTTATATATTATTAGGACTGCAAGCCCATTTATTGTAGATAATATTTAATATTCATTTGTAAATTAGGATTGATAGGTAGTTTTCCTATTGTAGACAATGACCAATGCATTTGTGTAAATTAGGACTGAAAAGCCTTCTTGGAGCCCTAATAAAATCATTTCATTTCAAAACCAAACCATGCAGAAAATCTTGTTCAACTCCAGTTCAATAATTTTGTATTGACTATATTTTTCTTGGTTATTTTTAGAAGAGCCTGTTCAAAATGTGTCTATGGTTTAGAATGCGAAGTTAACATAGTGGTCAACAAAGAACGCCTAAAGAGAAAAGGCACAAGAAATAAAACGTTAACGAAATATTTTATGATCATGATCGTGATCCAAAGATCAACCAAATCTAGGAAAAATAAGCGATCCCATAATTTTTTCTGTCCTATTCTCTCGTAGCATTGCTTTTAATCAGCAACACTATCGTTACCTTCCAAAACTGAGGCTAGTTCCAGGTTTTCAGTAAGTTGTGACGGTCGAAAAAGCTGGTGTGAGCGGAAAAAAAACTGACGGCCGGGAGATTTAATCTTCCTTCCCAGACTTCTACCATTATTTGCTCGCCGACTCAGCATGGGACTAGAGCCAAGTTTGACATACATACATACATACATACATAGGTTAATTGACCACTCCCCATAGGGGCTTTACGGGGCCACCTTCCACCCATCCCACCCAGGAGAGGACATCCACCACAGTAATCTCATACGTGGGAAATTAACGTCTCCTACCCCCAACTCAGCAGGAGACGGGACGCCCATTTATTTATCCCAATCCGAGAAGACTCGAATATCTATCCATTTCTTGATTATAGAAAGGTAGCAAATTCTCCTCGCTTATTTTAAGACCACGAGTATTGGTCCGACCGGGGCTCGAACCCTCGACCTCCCGCACATCACAATCCGGCGCTCTAACCAATTGAGCTAACCTCTGTAAGTTAACTGTTGGCTAAAGAAGGGGGAGGTTGTCGCTTTAACTGAATTTACTAAATAGAAAAGTAAACACACTTTGAAATATTTTACTGTAAGCTTTTCAGCATTTGCTGTTACACACACTTGATATTACAAATCATAACAACAAAGAGAGAATTAAGCAGACGAAAATGAAATAAAAATTCCCTTATTTGTAGTTAAGCTTAAAAGTTACCATTCCACTAACAGTAAATTCTTTAAGCCCCCCCTTTTAGAGACAGGAACTTCTTTGAAAAAAATCTCACCACTCTCATTCTTAAATAATGTCATCTTTTTTTTTCAGTGTGAAATTGTCCACTGTGTAAGTCAGTTTGTCACAAAAGTGGAACAAGCTGAAACAATTGAAAAAGATAACTTAGTTTAAAAAAAAATAAAAAAGCTAATCGCGCGGATAGAAGTACAAAGAGGGATAAAAAATTTTTATTGTGCGTGCTCATTGCATTCGAAAGATGTTTGACTTAGCTCAAAAATTCTTCAGCAATGGAGAAAAACTTTCGGTTACGAGATCCTTGTAGAGTCACTGAGCATGCGCACAGAACCACTTATCACAGACGTTCTATCAACTCTGAGGATCTCCTGGTTTTGGTAACTTTCCTTCCAAAAGAACTTTTGAAACCTCTTTCAATAAGAAATCAAAAAATTGTTTCTTAAAAATTTATACGGATTACTCTGAGAAATTTATGCTCTAAAGAGAAAAAAAAATACCAATGATAAAATGCCTATTTCAAACGGTGTCATTTCTCAAAATTATATGGACACAACAAGCTTATATGAAAAATTATATTAACTAAATGGAATACAATTATAAAGTATTTAAATGCAACTGAGATTGCGGCAGAAGTAGTAAATATAAGACCAAGACCATAGTAGAAAACCATGAATTAAATCGTTTAAACTGTTAAAAATAACCCCTATTTTTTAAGTCCCCTTTTGCATGGAGCAGGGTGACGTTATCACTAGGGTTTCCCAGGGGCCTTCCCCACTACAGTTCGCTTTACATGCAAGATAGGTTTACCTGGGGGTAGGGTTACCCATAATTACCTGGGGGTAGGGTTACCCATAATTACCTGGGGGTAGGGTTACCCATAATTACCTGGGGGTAGGGTTACCCATAATTAGGGTTATCCTCCCTCCGAGTAAAAAAGAAGAGGCCTATATGATAGCAATCAACCTTTCTTAAGCTGGACCTTGAAGATGATGCACTAGTGATTGAAGAGAGTTAAAGTAGCTACCAAGGCAACGGGAATGGCACGTGCGATACATTTCACGCGCTGAATCGGACTGCTTCTACGTCGCAAGAATTGCCCATGAAACTTCATGGGCGATAACTGCGCATGCACCTTACGTTTTATTCTTTCCAGGGCCCTATCCACGAAAGAGTGGGTCAAATTCTTTTCGTGGTAAACAGCAAAACATTTCTTAACGACACTACGAAAATTCTTTGTTTTGGGTAGTTGGACAAGGTAGGCTAACTAAGAGAGAGAAACAAGCATTTTCAAGTTCATATATATGGATTAATAAGGATCTAAATTTGTCTTCTGTTAAAGATTAAAGGCTAAACTTTTCTTATTTTGAAGTTGAAATACGATCTTAGATATAATTCTTAGCGTTGCCATCGTGGTTGCTTAAATCCCCTTCAAACTTCCAGCTACACCGCTGATATTCCGCTGACATTCTGAAATGCAGGCTTGCAAACTACACTTTTTCGGTTATTGGTTTCCTGGAAGATAAATTGTTGACAAATAAGATTTAAAGCAAAAACCAGACACCGAGACATAAAAACTTAAACAGTAAATAACAAACAGTGACAGTAACAATAAACAAAACATTGCTCTTACTTTTCCATTTCTGTGGCTTTCCCATCCATATCTGAATTGGTAAATGGAGGCAAATAATGTTGAGAAATAATCTACACAGTTTTCAATAAAAAGCGAAAAAACAAAAAAACAAAGAAATTGGCCTATAAAACCAAAATGCAAGCAAAGAAGGGATATATGTTGAACGATTTTTTGAGTCAATATCTGGTGCCCTCCAGGATATTAACTGTAACATCTGTTTATTACACGACTCGGGAAGTCAGAGGGCCAATAACTAAAATCAACCAATCAAAATGCTCTATTGCCGGTCAATATTCTCTCAGTATTGAACCGGGCACTGTCCCGAATGGTCCCGAATGATACCGCACTTGTGTCCCTTTGAACTTCAGTCGTATAATAAATCTCTTATTAACCAAGCTTGCTCGGGACCGTACTGGAAGAATATCGGCCCTCGGTCTTTTTTGTACGGACCTCGCTGCGCTCGGTCCGCACTGTCAAGACCTCGGGCCGATATTCTCCCAGTACGGCCCTCGCGCTTGGTTAATAAGATATATTTAATAAAGAGCCAGTGGATGGCTTCCGAAATCGATGATTTTGAGTTTGATTTTTTAAGTTTAATTTAACTATTCGCACTGGGACTTATAGTTACATAAGGCAAGACAACATTTGTTAAAATTTGTAATAAGGAATTGCAACAAAGAAATACTGCAAGTGGACAGCGAGAGCGAAAAGCAAATACACGAAACCGTTTTTAAGCGCGGTATCCGAAATGTACCGGTGACTTGGTCACGCTTGGTTTCAGCTTTGCTTCTGATTGGTTAAGAGTGGTGCAGGTTTTCTAGACCAATCATAGCGCGCCTGGCAACGCAAAAATAATATGATCCCATATTACTTTCGACGCTTAGACGAAGATTCTTCTTTGAAATAATTCAACTTACAATCGCCTTTCTTTTCAGCTCCTCCTCCGCCACCGCAAAGGGCCTGTTGACAACAGAAGAATACTCCGCAGTTGTTGAAGAAGCAACAGAAAAGATCGATCACGATAAGAACGATAAGAATGATAGCGATCACAATGCCAGCAATGGCGCCTGGTCCAAGTTTGTTGACAAGTGCTGCGATTGTACCTGAAAGATTTAGAATAAACAACCATGTCATTAGAAACATATTGTAACCGAGCGAAACTAGGATTGATCTCGCGGATGAAATAATGAATTGATTCTTTACAGAGTATCTTTCCCGCTCAGATTGGAAGAACGGTGTGTCTAAGTGTGAAGCATCACTGAAATTTTCAGCGCTCTTCAAATAGAAGGTGCTTTTACATTCATTTATACAATGAACAGGAAGGTCAGTTTTACGAACTGCCTTTCAGTACTTTGTTTTCTAATTATATGTTCCTTTTTAGGATTAACTGAAGTCGCAGGAAGTCGTCTGTAAAGAGCTCTTTGCTGGAATTCTTTCGAAGCCCTCACTTGCTACAGCATATGGAAAATTTTCGCAATCACTTTCTGAACTGCGCGCTGATTGGACAAGCGAAAGAGAACAGTTTTCGAATGACGTTAGCAGTGCGTTGGTCAGATGATAGACTCAGGGCAACGACCAATAGCAGCACGTGTAGTTTTAAATTCATTGGATAAATGATGCTAAAACATCTTAAATTCTAAAAGAGGCAGATGATGAACCCGCCGTGATGAGAAACTCTGCCAACACCCATAGCCCCAGTTGGATAAAGTAAGTCTTGCAAATACATAATCGTGTCTGATAACAAATGGTACGTTAAAATCCTCAAAATAGTACTAAATATGCTAAGTACACAAATAAATAACAAATGTTTAAATATTAGAAAATAACAGTAATGTTGTAATTAAGATACTCCTCGGTGAGTCTGGTGTTAGAGTTAGATGTGTATGTGTGACTAAGATCAATGAATTAATTAAACAACATTTACTTACAAATTTTGCATGTGTGTGGAAAAAATACCAGGTGTTAACGACGAGTTAAATTTTCATGAAATTCAGGTTAAACAAAGTTTTTTTATTTTATGCATTTGGTGGTGGTTAAAACAGAATTCGTACATTTATGTTTAGGAAGCTAAATTAATGAGTACCAGTTATGTTTTCATATTTGGTTAAATTCGTTTCCTTCTAAAAACAAATTATTGAAAAATTTTAAACCTCTTTGAACTCCCAGCGTAAACATTTTCCACCAAATACGCCTTTCGGTGGAGCAGAATGCTTTGGGAGCTTATAGAGCCAGATAATACGCTTGTCTTTAAATGGAACTTACCTGGTATTTTGTACTGTCCTTTATAGTTCCAATTAGCTGAGGAAACTAGCGGCATTCTTTTTTTCCCCAGTTTGGAATGTTTGGAATATCATAGGTCTTTGGGGAAGGAGTTTTCGCAACATTTTCGTGTATTAAAGGTACAGTGACTGATTACTTTCAAGTCTGTACATGTTAAATGTTAGTCTCCTTTGTTCAAGACAAACCGTAAGGCCATCAAGCTAAATAGGAGATGTGCTAATTCGGTCATCTGCGTTAGGAAGGTTTTTACTTAAAGCTTAGATTTTGTTAGGGTTAGAGTTATCATCTTCGTGTTGCTTGTATCATGTTATGTTGTGAGAGATTTCATTTTCAAAAAAGAGTTTAACTGTTTCCAGGTATGATTTAACGGCAACATGTCCATTGCGCTTTTTGCATGTCTACCCATGCTTGAGTGAGTGATGTACAAAGCGCAAAGTGTGATGTATCGTGAAGTTTATAGTGTGAACTGGTAAACAATGCGAGGTGCAATGTTCGTGCGCATGAAATGTGAAATGTTACGTCTTGGATGTACTAAAAAAAATCAATACCATAGAATTAAACAACTTTTTAGACTAGACGTTGTTGAATTTATCTCAGTAATGACATTTTGATACGTAATGTGAAAACCCTAATTGTCTGATACGTTAATGAGCAGATGTACGGGCTGTAGAGTTTCGCGAGTGTAGAGAAAATACATTGTGAAAATCGTGTTTGGAGGTAAGTTTATTTTATCCTTATTGAAATTTTTATTTCACACATAGATATGCGACAAATGATCACATGAAAGCCTGTTACCTAACTGAATTGTCAAACTACGCGCTAGTCACAAGGTTAGTACAGGAATAACGGTATTTCGTGCCTAGATGCACTAAACAGAAGGCCTTTAAGCACAACACTACATTACCATCTGAAAAATTCGATGTTTTACGAAAAAAAGACAATACTACAACTATCGTGCTAAATTCTGAAAATTATATGAAGTGTATTTCTGACTAAAATCGCATTTAACAGCGTCTTCATTCTTTAAAGCTTCTTGATTTAATCTTTTCATGACTGAAAAATGCAGTTCTACCCTTCCATTGAGAAAAAAATAATAATTGTAATATTAATCGTGAAGTTATGCGTTAAACAGACATATTTAACTTTTTATATATTAATGTACCGAATGGAAAACGTGAATTCCTCAATCACAAATATTTTAACTTATAATTACTTTCAAAAAGAGAGAACTATGAAGTCGTTTGTTTTAGAGTCTGAAGGGTAGTCAGAGGAAAAGAATTACCATTTTAAGTCGCAGAAGGTAATTTAAAAGTTCCCATTTGTATTTAACGAGAAAATTAGGTCTCGTAAAAGTCTTTTGCGCGGTGATGTGCTTTTAAAAGACCATTAACTGTAATTAATTATAAGAAAACGTTATCGAATTTCGAGGCCTCATTCTTTTTTGCACAATCTACAAATTATCAATAGTACTAAAATGTCCAGGTTTCTCTGATTTAAACTTAAGTGTGTTAGTTAACTCTTCAAAGAGAATAATGCACAATGAACGAAAACCTTTCGACTGAAAGGGTTAAGTAACAATTGTGAAATCAAGGGAAAAAATACAACATACAGAAGTTTAACAAAGGAAAAATAATTTATACGCAATAGCAAAATAGTAGCTGCGTTAGCAATAAAATATAACATCAAAATGGTTCGCAACCGCCACTATTCCTCATAAAAACGTTCTCAACGATATCTTTCATCGTCTGTTAATGTCACTAATTAACTTTTTATTGAAGTAACAAAGCGAATGAACTTGAAAAAGTAAAGAATTTCGCTGGTGTCCCTGTAACCACGCCGATGTTTACCGCTGACATCAACTGAACGCTGGCTCAGTAGTTACACACTTTCCGGTAATGGTTTCCTGAAAAGGTAGAGAAATTGATTTAGAAAACATAACGTAATTCACAGATTTTTTATAGTTGAATAACTCAAATCATGAAAAACATAAAAAAAAATGAGTAAGACAGTACTCACTTTTCCATTTCGGTAGCCTTTCCATCTTTATCTGTTCAAGTGGGAAAAAGGAGAACATATCCTCATTACTAAACTTCCAATAAATATAAATCGTAGCTAAGATTTGCCTTGAGTTAAGTTTTAATTGACCTGTTGTGTTATCGCAGCAGTTATCAAGAAGCTGAAAAGTTCGAGATCTGAGATGACGTGACTCGAGAAAGAGAAACTTGTTACGCATCGTGCTCTGTCACGCAACGTGCTCTGTGAGTGGGGAAGGGTCACGGGCGTTACGTGACGACCCCGGACGACGACTTTCAAGGGAGAGAGCTCTAGAGAGATATAAATGGCTCAAGTTATGGAGTGTTGAAAAACGCAAGTTAAGGGAAGTGACCTAAAGTTCGATATCCAGGGGGAGGAGGATGGGGGTCCTACAGAAATGACACAAAGCTAATATCCAAGTTTACTTTATATAGGTATGTTTTATCGACTTTACCGGGTGTGACTAGACCCGGAAGGGTTAGTGCGAACGGAACACAAGGTCCATGCGAGGCACCACCCCTCCCCCCAATTCACCCTGGATAGACAGTGCACAGAGATAGACCACAACACCGGGCACTACGTGCCCTACTCTTTTTGAGGAGTGTGTGGGTTCTTTAACGTCTCACAAATTTAAATCACATATAAGGTCTTGTGAGACAGGACCTCCATTTATCGTCCCTATCCGAGAAGACTAGAAAGTCTAACCGTTTGCAGATATTATTACAAAGGCAGCACTTTCTACTCAGTTATTTAAAGACCCTGAGTGTTGGTCCGGCCGGATTTGAACTCTCGACCTCCCGCACAACAGTCCGGCGCTATACCAATTGAGCTAACCGGGAGGCGTATGTTACATTTTTCAAGTTCATTATTTGCAATCTGCGAGAACATTCGTCGTTCCTCTCTTTTCTTGCTACTTTTTCGGATATTCATTCCACTTCGGTGTTCTTTTACCTTAGTTTACGATTATTTCAAGGGAAACAACGTTTTTCAGTGAAGTTAGTTTGACCAAGAATATCGTAACATATCTACTTTACCCAATTAAATTTGCTTTATAGAATTGTCCCGTTCATACTTACAGTCGTCCTTTCCAGACTTGACACCTTTATCGCCGCCGCCGCCCCCGCAGAAGGCCTGGTGACAACAGAAGATGATCCCGCAGGAATTGAAGAAGCAACAGAACAAATCGATGGTGATCAGGACAATAAGAATGACTGCAACCACTATGCCAGCGATAGCACCCGCTCCAAGGCCTTCCTGGGTACGAGCTCCTACTTTTGGATCCACTACATTAAGAGAAACGAACCAAAAAAAATATTTCTTCTCCGTTCAACTAGAAAGCGGCCTCTCTCTTGCACAGCCACAGCATAACCACTCTTGTGAGACCACAGCATGCTCACTCCATGCATGTTAACCATACTGAACTCTCCGTTAATAGAAAGTCGTTGAGGTTAGTACGTTACTAAGTTCACGCCCCGTCGAAATAAAGAATAAAAAAGTAGACGGAAAATGTAATAAAACCGAATTCCTTCCTGTGATCATCTTTTCTAAAGGTCCAGCATTTCAGTCAACACTATTACCGACAGAACTGCATCTTGGGAATTTTCATAATGGCGGAAACCCGAAAATTTCCCACTGTACAGCTAAGGTTAATTTTTTATTTAATTTTTTATTTTTTCGTGTCGTATTGGCTCATGTTTATTGCTGGATAAGCTATACTATGCTTTCAGCGAGCTATATGAGGTATCTCAGAGGGTTTTTTGGAGGGTAAAATGCTGATACGAAAATTCAA